TACCACAACCTTATGGAGTTATATGTACAGAAAACTAGCATTTTGCTATAAAGCATGTGGAAGATTTGAGCTTTCTTCCAGAATGAAGAAATGCAGCTTAATGCAGCCCTAACAGTGACTATACTAATGTCTGAAATGTGCTAGACCACACAGAGATGGGAGGGGTAAGGGTTAGGGTCATTCTAAAATGGCAGTTGAAGTTACTGATGAGAAGTTACTATGTGCAAATTCATCAGACATATCATGCGGTACTAACTCATCTGTCTGCAATACTGAATTTTACTTGTTTTTGTATTTTGCTAGATTCATGTTCATATAAAAGCTTCTGTTCTACTTGGGATGCGTGATAACCTTCTCAATTTGTTCAGAAAAGGTCTCTCCTTTACAGTGGTGTAGTTACTTAGTCTGATGGGTTCCATTGAATAAAATTGGCTGCTGAGATTTCTTGATATTGGTTTCTTGAAAAACCATGTTGTACCAAGGAAACTTGTGCAGATAAGGATATTCTTCATTGTTTGGTCCTCTGCCCTCTCCTGGACGCTAATCCTCAGTAGAATAGATTCAATGATGCACAGCGGTCACCCCATGTTTGCCAAACAATCTGACATATTTAAATATTTCATAGCATAATCCACTGCATGTCTGCTCTGAACTTGTGGAAGATACTGTGTTTTGAATTAATCTGAACAGATGTGAAGCAAGCAAGGCTCCTGCACCTTGCAGCATTATGTAAAAGTGAACATTTGGGCAGTGGCCACTTACAAATGAAATTAATTAAATGGTTTAAAAAAAAATAGCCTTCCACAGAAGAGCTCAACAACTGTATGAGGTACATTAGGTGGACCTGCTCAGCTTCATGATGGGGGTGAGATTTAAACCCAGTCTCTCCCATCCTAGTCCGACACTCTAACCCCCACACCACACTGGCCTTTCCGTCTGCATGCAAAATTGCATTTGCTAAAATCCCCTCCATTAAGCACCTATGAAGGGTGTTGTGACCTTTTGCACAGGGTCACTCTCTGTGAATGGTGGTGAACGGGACTGGACTGGTAGAAGAATCCAAAGACTGGTGGGTCTAGGTATGTCTGAAGTGGGCACAGAGGCCGTTCTTGGCAACTTGTCCAACTCTTAGTATCCCACGCATGCTACCTTCCATGCATTGTGCTTCTTCCAGGGTGTTGTGGGCCCAGGTTGCAGACCCAAAACAGAGCGGGAGAGTTCCCTCTCTCAGGCCTTGCCTGGGCAAAATGAAATCATGGCCATGGTCCACCTACTGATGACCAAGCTGCACTCATGTTGTCTTCCTCTATGCTGAGAGAAGCATGAACCTCCCTGCTTCTCTCAGCCCAGGGGAAAGGACTGGGCTGCAGCTGGGAGGAGTGCCAACACTTACTGGTCCCATCAGGGAAAGGGATGCAGGAAGCATCTCCATGGGCACTGGAAAGAGTGGCCACTCCATACCCTGCTCCCTGAAATACCCCAGCCCCTCATTCCCCCTCCCAATTTTAAATAAAAATAAAAATAAATAAAATTGCAAACTACCTTGGGAAAGTGGACAGTGTGCATATTTATTCTGAATACACAGTGAAACTGAGCTCTTTTCCCATGCTGGGTTTGGCCTCGCTGCCCTCCGGAGCCAGTCCTGCGTTGTCAGCATGTATGTTTGTGCTTGCCGAGAAAGGACGTGTAATTTTCATCTGATGATTAAGCAACCGGGTTTGGAAATGTAGCTCATATGATAGAAAGGAATGAATGAAAAGGCACTGTAGCAGGTGCTTGTCACAGAATGGCCCGTCACTGGTGTCTAACCCTTTAGAACCGGCTGGGGAAACAGATGGCATAAATTCAGTCCTAATAATTGTGTTACCCACCCTGGGAAATAGTGACCAGAGAAATCACACATACTGTAACAAATGTCAATAGTAACAATTAAGAGTATTTGTGAGCTGTAAAACAAAAGTGCATTTTTGTTGCCAAGGTAGAACAGCTTTCTGCAAGATTCAGCTTGATGAGTAGTGACTATTGTTTGTTTATTTTTGAGATGCCATAAATTAAACACCTATAGAAATTATACTACATGGGTCTATCAGTTGCATTTTGTGGGTGCATTTTAAATATATAAAAACATGTTAGTTTCAGTTTTGTTACTCTCTGATGGCAAAAATCGCAACTCAAAACATATACGGTCTCTTTGTTGCTGTCATTTGATGCTGGAGAGGTGAAACATCTGAAGCTGTCTTCTCCATGTGGACACTTGTGCTGTGGCTTCAGTGTGGGGTTCACAGTTGTTTGCACTTTTCTATAGGGCAGCATCTCATGCCTATTGCAGAAAAGTAGCTGCCACTCACCCCTCTCTCATTGGCTAAATTGCTGGGCTATCAGGGATTGTTAATGAACATTCCAACTACTCAGGGCAAGCAACAGAATAGAGTGTCTGTGAAAAGAATTCAAAATCCAAGAATTCAAAATGGGGGTGGCTTTACATAGATTTTAGAATAGCTCTGTGCTTTTGGCAGGAGGGACAGAAGTGTAAATGTTGGTGTCTGTGAAGCCAAATGGAAGGAAAAGCTTAGGAGATCCTAAGAGTCAGACCAAAGAAAGTACAAGATGCCCCAGTAAGTAAAAGGGAAACAGGTTTATAGCAAAACAGGATAGGACCCAGCAATGGCAGGGGTCTCCATGCAACTTTCAGGAAAGAGAGAGGAAGGGAGCTTTGCAGAATAGGAGCCTTTGGGCCAAGGATGTGAAGAAAGAACAAGTTCCAACAGTCAGCCATGAATTTCCATTATAGTTCAGGAAGTATTTGGCTGTGTGTCTGTGGTAAACTAGGATAATTTATCTCTGGATTCTGAGTTTGCAGGATTCCACATCTGCTCATTTATTTTTTAGATTGTCGCCAATCTAAATCAAAACTGAAGTATGCTGTTGCAATAATGAATTTTCAGAGCCCACATGATCTTCTCCCACATTCCTGTGTAAAACGGAAGCCATTTTTGTGTCAGAAGAATGCTCTGTCTAAATACTCTGTCCAGTATCCTCTCTCCAAAAATCACCCAGGTAAAGACAAACAGTCCAAGGATGAATCCTCTCTTTGCTTCCCTCCCCAACTATCAGTTACAGAGGAACATTGAGAAATATCAGCATGTGTTCTCTCATAACTTGCATAACAGATATTGTATGCCTATTATTGAAGAATTTGGCTGGTATCCATCACATCATGAAATGACATTACTCCATAAAACAATTCAGATAATACAGAGGAGGAGGAGGAGCAGCAGATGCCTAAATAAATATTTGAGGTGCTAAGAGTTCCCTCTGGTGGCTGATGTGCCACATAGCAAGCATCCTGTCATCTGAATTCAAAATAGATTGACATCCCTTGGTTCAGTTAAGGATATTATTAAAGCTATACAGAATTCTTAATCAGACAGGAGAGAGATCTCTTTTCCAGATACAAAGACAGTCTTACAAGTGTCCAGTTTTGGAATAGCCTTGAAATTTTGTACTGATGCAATTGAAATTCTAATTAAAGCACTCAAGGCTGTCAAGGGCAGAATACTTTGGAGGGCTTTCATTCATTGGGTCAGCATAAGTCAGAGGTGACTTGATGGCACATAACAACAACAAACTAAAGCAATAGGAAAAATAATAACATAAATTGCAAATAGTTCTCACAAGTCTATTACTGAATTGAACATATCTATATTGAATTCATTTAAGAAAATGTTGAGCAATATGATAATTTCTCCTTAAGTATTAGGAAAAAGATGTGGTTGCAAGAAACAACAACTTCCATCAGTAGATGATGAGAAGAGATGTACATGGCACAGAAATGTATTTAATATGAATGCATAATATTATACATTAACACAATCTCATATTCATATATACTGTATGTATAGGAGATTGTATCTTAATACTAAAAGATATGGGAAGGATGTGCAGGAATCCTCCAAAAGAAAAGTAGATTGTTGGTATATATTCATCCAAGAATGAAAGCAAAGAACACATTATTGAAAAATTGGAAAAGAGAATTTGGAAATAATATGAACAAATAGTATGACAATACAAAAGTTACATGTAATAGCATTCAGTGGGGACTATTTGAAAGCAGATCCCCTGAAATCAGAGAAGGGCTTGGGCAGAGTATGCCAGAGGATGTGAGCCACACGAAGGGTCCAGGGCTGCATGCAGCCTGCAGGGTGACCATTCCTGCATTAGAGGTTTGACTTTGTAACACCAGACCTGGATCCGAGTTTAGAGAACACAATGGCCTTTAAGGATATAAATATGGGCCGTGCCTGTTTTTTTAAACAGGTTTGTGAATCACACTCTTCAAAGTTCATGAAGCATATGCTCAGAGCATCAGACCATCCCTGTTGATTGGTGAGAAGTCTGTGGGTACAATCATGTCCTTACAGAAACCAGCCGCAAAATTCCTGTTCTGCAAATGCAGGACTGAGGCCATTTGTTTTATATACTGGGACTTTTTCTAAATTAGTAGCATAATTTTCCATGATCATAAGGCTTTTTTCTGATTCATAAATAATGTTCTACATTTATTAATCAGAAATGTTATGCTATTTTCCTCCCCCACAATTAACAGTGCTTCCTGAAAGTTTTCTAATGAAACATGCCATTTAACAAACTGGAGAGAATTGTTTTAGCTGTGGAAGAAAACCCCTGAAATGTTCTTGCTTTTATTATAGCCAATAATACTTCAGAAATGAGTTGGAAGAACAGAATTCATGGATTTAGAAAGAAAAGGGAGAGGCTGTTATTTAAAGCTATTTCAACTAACCAAATTAGACTTTCAGCAGAATATTTTTTTAATGTCCAGTTTCAGTTTGAACCAGGAATGGTTCTTTCACAATTCCTATTTGATAACCAGTCACTGGCTTTGGCTGATAAGAACACAGTTAGTTTTATCTTGCATAGTCAAAAGCACTTATGCCTTATCTCTATGATACAGAAAAGGTGGAGAAAGTAACAACTTTTTTGCAAAGCACTGCCATAGCATTCAATACTGCTGCTTGTTTGTCTGGCTCCTGGTATGCTTCTGTAGGTAGGAAGTACACTATTTGTGGTCTTTGGCTCAGTCCCTGTCAAGGATTCCTTCATCACTATCACACCTCAACTTCCCAGGTAAGTTCTCAGTGCCATCCTGGCTTATGCTTCTGTTTGTTAATGGGTGAGATGTTACAGAGGCTGAGTACTAGCTCTTATTTAAGGGATTGGTAAATTTTATTGCCAATAAAAGTAATAACTTTTATTACTCTGACCATTTTACTACAATTTCTGTCAGTCCCTAATATATGATATGAGTCTCATCTCTTACCAGGATGCTACAGAGAACTGTGCATTTTTAGGCAAACTGAGAAAGTAAAGAAAAAGCTTTGATGTGTCTACTTGACAAGGCGTCTGGCAAATAAACTGAGAAGTTGTCTTGAATCCCAGAATGCTACAAGGGAGAGAGAGATTTCATAAAATATAAAAGAAACATTACTTTAGGTGTTATTAATAGAAGAGGAGGGGGAAAGGCAGGTTAAGAAATGGTGAGAAATATATCAAAAGTCTAAGAGAATGTATTAGGCATAATCTTACTAAACTTAAGTAATTTTAGTCCCATTGATTTAAATGGAGAAGACAAAGACTGCAATTCTATTTGTGTTTACCCAGAAGTAAATCTCAATGAACTCACTGTTTGAGTAAATATGCAGAGGATTCGCTCTGTTGAACTGTAGCCTTAAACACACTTAATAGGAAGTCAGCCCCATGAGAGTGGGAATCGCGTCTGAATACATCTATATAGAATTACATTGCTTTGCATGTGTGCATTCCATCCCTTATTAAAATCAGTATAACATAAAATGCATACATTGTGACCTTTCTTTGCAGACACAAACAAACCATTGTTTTCAATACAGGCTGCTGAAATATCCACCCAGGGTCTTTTGAAAGTAGTGCCAGAGAAGTGTGTTAATTCTTAAAATGACTGTCCCAGAAGTAAAGGGTCGACTCAAAAGTGCCAATCCAGCCCACAGGAACTAATATCTGGCCAGGGCGACTTCTTTTATATTATTATTTATTTTATATTGTTAATTTTATATTGTTATTTTTGTATTTTATTGTATTTTATTTTGTGTTGTGAGCCGCCCCGAGGCTTCGGCAAGGGGCGGCATAGAAATGTTTTAATAAATAAATAAATAATATTCTCGCATTGCAGTTCCTGGCTTGGACATACACATGGGAACAGTCCATCTGAGTACAAACTTATATGTGTAAAATCCAACATACCCAGACCTCAGTGGTGTGTTGGAGTCCTAGTCAGGAATCTATTGTGCGATTGAGCATTAGATTTCATGCACAAAGACAATATTCATAAGGGCCATCTTATGTGGACAACCAGGGACAGTGGTGATAGTGGAAAATGACACATCTGTTAGAAGTGCTGTTAACTATCTCTCTTCTCAAGGTAGGGCTCCACTTGGCTGTGTTCACAGAACACGAGAAGCAACACTGCATGGTAACCATGATTCACAGTTTTGTTTTTTGACCATCAGGTGGTTTCTACGTTATGATGGGTTCCATCCTTCCCACTCAATCCCCCCATTGTTGGCATGTATCCCATCAGCAACTGTGCCTGAATTCAATCCCAAGGTGTGGCATTCCCTGCCTGTGTCACCTGCCTCTTCCTCATTGGTCCACATATAGAGGTTGGATGGCTGGCATGGCTCCTGCAGTTTCCACGCTTCAGAGGACCCGGTGGTAGCTGCCTGCCTGCCACCCACTCCTCAGCATCTGCTTTACTCTTTCTAGTGGCAAGACTGGCCCTGCTGCCCTTCCCATAAAGTTCTGTTTCTAACTTCTGTATTCTAAGGTTGCAATTCTATGCATGTTTCAACAAACCTTCCATAGTTCTCAGCATCTTCGAGCCAGCCATACTCAAACTGACTCTCTTAGAGCACAACTCTCTGCAGGTTTACACAGGGAAATAGCCCTACAACTTTGAGCATCCCCCAACCATGTTTTTGTCTAAACATACCTAGGAATGCTCCCTATTTCTGTTTGGTTAAGTCCAAAGATTTGTTTTATCTAAATAGGTATCTGGGCTGCTCAAAATGTCTATTCATTGGATTTCTAAAGTTTGACAGATGAATTTTTCTTGCACCCACAGGATTGGTCTCCCTTTTTACATTGTTTTGGGGCAGACCTTCAGAAGTACTGTATGTAACTAACTTCTTGAAGGCTGCAAGAACACAGCTCTTTAAACAATCAGGCCATCTGAATAGCTACTGCAAACACCAGCAGCTGCTCTATGACAGTGTGAGAAGAGTAGAAAAGAGGGACCTTTTTGTCTTGACATTTCCAATGTTGTTCAATTCCCCCTCCCCTTTTCCTCTTTCACATAGAATTTGCAATGTTCGGAACTGTGGTCATTGGGATTGGAATTGCTGGATCTGTGCGGATCAGGGACTTGCTGAATCCTTTGCCTTCCAGTCCTGCAGAGCATCTTAAACTGTTGGGCTTTGTATCAAGGTGAGAGAGTTTCCTTGGGCGATTTAAGAACATTCTTGTAGTGGGACAAATATATGCATTGTACAAGGATTTAGAAATCTAGTATAGAACCTATTTCAATGTGAGGACCAAATTCGATTTTGGAGAAGTTCTCAGGGACCACATTCTTGGGAGAAGGATGTAGATGGAGGTGGGGGGTGGGGGGCAAGGCCAAAATACCAAACATGTCAGCATATTTAGCTTAAAGCTCTTCCCTAAGCTGTAACAAAGCCTTAGGTGAACCATTTTGAACTCAGAATGGGAAAGTTAATGCTGCTTGAGCTTCTCAGGAAAGTGAAGAATATATGAATTTAGATGTTTATGGACATTTTTTGGACTGACACCTTTTTGCTATGGTGCCATTTCCAGTTTTGAAATACAAAAACAAATACATGTTATAAAATATGGGACAACAGAGTTCTCTTGGGTTGATTTTCCTTTCAGGAGCTGATGACACAAGTTCCTTGTCCAGGGCTTTTCCACTTCTGCCTTCCCCCATGGTACACAGGTCTTAAATAGTTCCAGGGAAACTGTGGGAAGGGCTGCCCCAGCAGTTCTCTGAGGCTGGCTCAAGATTAAAATACATCATGAGAAACACAGTAAAGGGAGATCGTTTGTTCATAGAACCGTCCTGAGACCTTGATAGTGGATGGTATAATATTTTTTAGAATGAATAAATAAATAACTACTAAAACTTTTAATGGATGGATTAGTACATAACAGCACCCAGTAAAGCACCACCATGGGTTACGACTAAGTTTAGGCAGCCATAACGAACCATGATGATTGGACTCATCATGGTTGCTTTGAGTCTACCCCTACTTGCTTCTCTCTCACTCCTCCTGGTGGTGTCCTGGTGACATTGCAGGGAGGAATGAGGCCTTCTTTGACAGCTGCAATTCATCGAGCTGTTAATCAGTATTTGATGCACAAACATAGGCCATGTGCTGAAGTGCTGCTGATCAGGCACCCCTACTTCCTGCTCCAGAGGAGATCGCTAGAACAGGAGGGAGGGGTGGCTGATCTACTCTCACTGCCCAGCTGATTCCCCCACTCCTGTCTAAGGATAAGTCTTCCAAGCACAAGTGGGGAGCAACCAACTTGGTGGTGCTGCCCCATTTGGGTCAGCCCTGCCCAACTGATTGCTATGGAGCTGATGCCCACCCATGTCTGAATGGAAGGAGCAGGAAACGGGGGGCAATCTTGCCAAGTAACTCATTTGTCTTAGAGCTTTTTCCACAATGGGAAAGTTGAAACTATGCAATGAGCAATCTAGGGAAAAACCCTAAAAGCAGCTGTTGTTTCTTACCATGCTTCTCAGCCATGATGAGTTACGATGCTAGATCACCACAGCTGGTTCAGACAACATGGCAATCAGTGATAACAGTCAGCCATTGCTTATCATGCCCTGTCTATGCCTACTGGTTTCATCTAGGGTGGAGCAGCATTTAAAACAGAGGGGCCAGTATTATGAACGTAAACTGTTTTTCCTGTTTCTCCAAATACTTGAGGCAACAGACCTGCATTTAAGCCTGAAATGCTGTGAAGCAAAAGAATGGAAAACTTTAGCAGCATACTATAGTGCCAATTAAACAGTGAACAAATATATGTTTTTAAAAATCTGAAAACTTTCCTAAATAAATACTTTAAAACCTATTGTAAAAGCCAGGGGAGAGAGCCTGCCAAACCATTTCCGCAGAGGTATTTCCAGAGGTACAGACCTCATTCCTTGTTGAAGATGTCTTAATCGCACACAATGAAGGAGGCTGGAACAGGGCTCTTGAAGCTGGTATCAGCGTGAGGAGAGACGTTTTCCATATCACAGAAGCGCATGGTAGCAACTTCATTTGTACCCAGTGAGTCTATGGCTGATCCAGAACTTCAGTGTGGAGCTCTCAGTTCTAGATGCCAAGATCTGTAAAGAGCCAAGAGCTGTCATTGCTTTCTCTATGGAGTGTTTGTTGTACCACAGCAATGAAGTTCATGGCAGGTATACTTTCATTCATTTTTATTTCTGCTGAAACTAGGAGATCTCTAGGTAATGTTCACAATGTCAAGCAAATTAGTCTACAAGATGCTCTGGACAGCACAGAGGTCCAAGCTGCCATCATCAGCACAGATAACCGAAACCACCACGAGAGCATCAGGTACTGCATTTCTACTTTTCTGGCATCAAAATGCCATTAATATGTCCATTCATACTCCATCATTCCAGATAATATCTTATAAAAAGGAATTACTTGCAGCCAAATTCTTTTACTGTTTGTATTAAGGCATTATATCCAAGTGCAAAAACGTCATTGCCTTATCAATTGACAGTGGTGCGTAATCATAATATAAATTTAGATTTAAAAAAAAATCCTTATCACCTCTTCTGTGGCATTCATCTAGAAAAACAGCAGTATACACATGGATGTATCATTCTCAGATTACCAGTACTGCTTGTATGTATCATTTACCTGGGTTCCAGAGTACAACATATAAAAATGGTCCTTAGTGCCTAGAAATACTCCCTGTTCTCCTTAAATTCCACTCCAAATGGTAAACTTCTTTGAAACTGGCTGCACTATATATGCTATTTTTTGTTTTGGTTTTTTAAAAAAGGCTCTTGGAATCATAGTTTTGCAAGGCTGCTGAGAATACATTTGAAATACCTAAAAATTGCTGTGCGCTTTTCAAAGGAAGTGCAGGATACAAAATTGTAACGTTTATCTATTTTGCTTCTATAAGGATGTTCCTAGAGGCCGGGAAACATGTCCTTGTTGAATACCCTATGGCGCTGTCTGCAAAGGCAGCACATGAGCTCTGGGAGATGGCAGAGCAGAAAGGTAATATGCGGAGACATAATTAGTTGCTTCAAATAATGTTTGGCAGCACAGTTTTGCTGCTTTTTAATTTAGAGTGTCTGTGCCAGTGTGGCCCAATTGCTAAGGTGCGTTTATTTATGATATTTATATCCAGCAAGGAACCCAAGGCAGCTTACAATAATATTCATCTTCATTTCCATTTTATCCCCTAACCACCCTATGAGGTAGCTTAGGCTGAGAATCAGTGACTGGACCAATTTCCCAGTGGCCTTGTGGTTGAGTGGGCACTAGAACTTGGATCACCTGAATCCTAGTCCAATGTTCTATCTGGGACACCACACTAGCTTTCATTCCACAGCCAATAATGAAAATGTTCTCCACATTGTAATGATTGCAGCAAATACTTTTTCTTCCATCATAGCATCTTAATGGAAGAAAATATGTGAGTTCTCTCTGTGGAAGTACTGAAGGCACAGGGGTCTTGCTTATTTCTTCATAATAGAACCTGGATATCTCAGATGGAGAGTTCCTTTAAAAATGTAGGGAGAAGTTTTATTGCATGATAGGGAGAAATAGTTTACAAATGAGGAATCTAGGAACATATCTATGTTCTCTCTCATAACCTAAGGGACAAGGCACAAATTTATTATGCAAAATGGATTTCAACATGCTGGAGATCCTACTTCTTAATATATATCTGATTATGTTGCATGTATAGGATGACTAATGTCTTCTGGAAAATAACTTTGCCTGATTGACTAATTGGATGGATTCTCAAATCAAAAGATATAAAATGGACAACTAGAGAACACTCCATACTGCAGAAAGATCAGTCTTAGATCTAGGCAGTAGTTATTTCTTCTTTTATTTATTTTTATTATGTTAAAAGCACATTTCACCTTTCCTAGAAAGTACATACAGAAAAAGATTGTATGACCGTTTTCATGTCCATCACTTTTACTATTTTCATGTCATCTTATCTAACACATGTTGTAAATTTTCTTGTTTCCCCTTAATAGTTTTTCATTCAAGCATACCTTAAAGTAAAGAATATGCCCATTCTTAAAAAAAAAAAAAAGAAAAGAAAAAAGCAAAGGGGGCAAATAGGACAGTTAAAGTGGGATTACTGTAGTAGCTCGTCATACTTTGGAGCAGACCTGGACAGCTTGTGACCTACCCCCACCAATCATCCACAGCAGCCTTCCCCAACTTTGTACCTTCCAGACACCTTTGGATTGCATCTCCCAGAATTCCCAGTCAATGGCCCTCCTGGATGAGAATTCTGGGAGCTGCAGTTCCTCTGAAGGCCACCAGGTTAGGGAAGGCTGATCTACAGTGTACCACTTGATAAGCCTTGTATGTTTGTAGCCCACCTTCCCACATCAGGGTATCAAATAACTGACAGAGCATCGTATGTGAATGGACTATGTAGCACGGTGGCTCACAAGTTCTGGAAAGTGTTCCTTATCAGCTTATTCAAGGGTGGCCAAACAATGAAATGCTTAGCTACTGCCTCACTGTAGGATTGCCAGTGCTGTTACTGAAAGAGCTTGTTTCCAGCTGCATATCAAGCAGAAGTTCAGAATCACTGCTCCCATGCCACCGGACAAAACCAAAAGCATTGACAACCATCCCACTGTCCTTCCTAAGTGTCGATTGTTTTTTGACCCCCATTTGGCACAGTATGCAATCCCATGAAAACCTATTTGTATTTGTTTACATATTAGGTAAAATCCTCCATGTGGAACATATTGAACTACTGACCGAGGAGTACAAACAGCTGAAGAAAGAGGTGGCAGGGAAAGAGCTTGTAAAGGGAACGTTACACTTCACAGGTTAGTTGTTACAGAGTATTTGACCAACTGTGATTCTAATCTAATTTATGGCTAGTACTTAATAATTCATTCATACGACCATATCCAGAGAACTGTGGGCCAGTGACTGATTTTATGGAGTTGTAATGTTTAACCATGGTTTGTTTTCTGTACTATACTGTAGTTATTGATTGTACCTGACTATGTAAAACATAGTTAAAGACAGACTACAAACTGTAATTCAAAACCATGTTTGGAAGCGTGTTTGTTAGCTATGGTTTACATTATTAATGACTAAGCCAGTGTGGTTTAGTGGGTAAGAGTAAAGGAGTGGGATTCAGGTGATCTGAGTTCTAGTCCCCACTTAACTGTGTGACTTTGGGGCCGTTGCAGACGCTCAGCCCAAAATAGAAGTTTTTCTATCTATTTTTAACTAACTGCATTTTAGTGTTATGTCTGAACCTGGTCAAACTGCAGTTAGACTTAACTATGGTTTACTGAAATAAACCAATTTTTAATGATAGTTTACAAATTTAGCTTTTCTCAAGTAAACCATAGATAAAATAAATCAAAGTTTTTAGTCTTGACAGAACACTAAACCAAGGTTAATAGAAATGTTTAGTATTAAGTCCAGAACATGCTTATGTTTGGCATCTCAGTCCTGTTTAAGGCCAATAAACCAGGGCCAGTGTTAATCATCTTGTTTGCAACAAGCCTATGTCTCAATTTCCATTCTTCATCCATAAATGGTGACCTAACGTAGAGGGTTATATGAAATGAAATAACACTTCTCAATATTTCAGAAGAAGCACTGAATGAAAATTAAATATACAGTCCTCTGATACGCTGTGTACATACATAAGTACGGACATGAAGCAGTATGAGGTTGTTGAATGGACTGTAACACTTCGAACTGCAAATGGGAAGGGGCAGGATGTTTGAATCCTTCCCCATGTAAAAAAGAAAGAAAAACCCTGAGAATTGCAAATTACAACAGCAAGGAGAAAGATTATGGACTTATCCTTTTACCACCACCTGTGCTGGTTTTCTGTTTGCAAAGAAGAATTAATATAAGAGAACATTAAACACATGTCTTCTTCCACTTCCCAACTGTAGCCTGAAGTGATGCAGGCAGTTCTATTGCTCTATTGTTCATCTAGACTAGGCCTTAGAAATTAATTGGTCCATAATATCATACAATATACCCATTCAAAGATATTTTAGAATGCTCTTTTTTCCAGCCATGTGTTCCATGTCCTTTTTCTCATTGCTAAAGGGGGCCCACTGGATGAAGAACATTCAGGGTTTCCAGCTTTTAGTGGAATTGCCCGCCTGACTTGGTTAGTTGATCTCTTTGGGGACCTCACTGTCACATCAGCTACAAGGGTAGAGCAGAAAGAGAAAAATTACTCCAGAATGACGGCACATTTTCAGACTGCAAACAAGAGGTTGGTCTAATTAAGTTATACATATGTTAATTAACCATAATCCTCTATCTGTTGCTAGTAGGTTACATAGCCCAAGAGCAATTATTTCCCCCTACTTCTATAGTATAAACATGACCACAAGTGTTCATGTTTCTAGCTCAGAAGCTTTTTCTGGGAGTCAGGAAACAGTTTAGTTTTGCTATTCTGATTAGAATTGATCTTTTATAATTAAAAATGAGGATTGTTGTTTCCCACTTTAACTCAGAGTGGACATTTTTCATACTTATCTTGGTGGAATAGAACTGGTTTTGCTCATTTGAGCCTTCCATTTTTGTTTGACTAAATCTCTTGTTCTATGCATCTCTACCTTGTCTCTCTCAATAGCTTTTGTGCTTGATTTACACATTATCATAGGACAGTAAAGTCAATCTGTTAGGAATAGTAACAGTGCATAACATTCTCAGAATGTGCTTATCATCCTATCTGAGCTCCTATCTTGGAACCTGGTGCCTAGTTCTCCCTGTAAGAAGATCACTTAAACTTAGGATAAACAATAGCAGAAGTAGACATTCCAGAAAGCTATCCATTATCTTGGATAGTTTAGATACAGTAGTGATAACCTGAAAATGTAGAGTTTAACTTCTAAAAAGGGGAGGGACTGACTCTTGAAGATTATACTATCTGAACTAGAAGTCTTTCCCTTCTAATCCCAAATTATATGACCTGGCAATGAGGACATACATGAACTGCTGGGCTGGGTGCTCTCTTAATCTCTGGAGGCACAGGGGGCCCTGCATGTGTGGGGTAACCCCCCCTTGCCAGTCTAATCGATGTGCAAGCAGAACTAAGGGGAACTGGCAAAGGGAAACGTCCCTCAGTAGGCCAAGCAAGTACCCCTATCCAAGTTCTGCAAATGATTGGACATCTAGATGCACTAAACAGAGTTCAGTATTCCATCAATATCTGTGGCCAGAAAGGAAGGGCTGATCTAAAGCAAGTGATGAAATATATTAGGAGGAATGGCAACCAAAAATAAGGGGGAGTGAATAGGTTTTCATACAGGGAACAGTGCCTGTTTTGGTTTTGGTTTTATTTTTATTTCTGTTTTAAAATCATCACTCTGCAAACAAGGTTGCCAAGTGACCAGAAAAAATATCCTGTTGTGCCTTTAATAATTGATATGCAAATATTAGCAGATTTATCTCCACACTGCGAAAAGATTCCCTGTGTATTTCTGCCAGTCAATATGCTGTTAGGCACAATGACAGTGACTGATTGAAGAGCTACCGCTGTTCGGTTTCATTGAATAATTAAACAACTGTTCGCAAAGATCCATCAGTATTAAATCATGCCATTAGGTCATCTGTTTATACACATGGAAGCGAGAGCAGAATGTGGGGTAACTTCACTTCCTTTCAAGCACACTCCTATTCAGAGTGCCAGCAGCTAACCAGAAGGAGAGAAGGAGCCCAAGCCGGGCATTCTGGTTCCTCCACCTACTTCTCTCTCTCTCTCATTCTCTCTCTCGCTTTCTAGCTGAAGTCAATGTCCCATGCCACTCGTACCTCAGTAAACTGTTTTTTTCTGGTCTGTTTATTCTTTAGGCTGGCTAGCTGGCTGCTTTTATGTCCTACTGCATTTCTTCGGCTTTTCCCCAGGCATTTTGCTGTCTCATTCTTACCTCTCAGAGCCTACAATCCCACTGTGCTCACTGCCTGAGTTCATTATTAGAGGGAGGGTGCTAAGCTCCACTGGCTGGGCTAGTGTGCTGGCATGGAAGGTTCAGCCACAACCTTGTTCGCTGCACCCCATTCTTCCCATGTCACATTTACCTCCCCACACACTCCAAAAGCAGGGAGTAAGTGATGAGAGAAAGGGAATGGGGGAACACACAGTGGGGCGATGGGATGTGCAAGCCAGAGGGTGGGTGGCCAAGAGTGGCTGACTATCCTCTAATTTACCGTGAAGATTCCCTCAGGGAAACAGAGAGTGGGCTGTTCTTCAGAGAGTCCCTCCAATCTTCTCTCTTTGAGGCATTTCCCAGAGAGGGACTGGTAGGGCTTTCTGGAGCACCCTCTGGAAGTAGGACCAGAGAGCAGCTTTCATTCCTCCTGCTCCAGTGCCTGAAGAGGGGATTTCACCCTGTCTTACGGGAGGGCAGTCCTCATCTGAACTTAATGAGGGAAGAGTAAATTGTCACTGTGCAAGTAAGAACTCTTGTTGGCCCTGATAATGACGGGGAATTGGTCCTGGTCAGAGCCCAGGACCTAAAGGCACAGGGGTTTTGAACTGCTGGACAGGAAGAGGTGAGCGCATTGGAGGAATGTGGAGTGTTGGCCAGGAAGTGGAGGCTTACTAGAACTAGACCTGAGAATCTGGTAGGAGAACTCTGTCAGCCATGACTTGGATTGACACTAAGTCATGACTTAGTGACTTAGTTTTGTGACGTTGCAGCCCAAAGGGGACAAGAAGAGCCAAACAAAGCACTGGAGAGCAGTTGGTGATTTTGCAAGCTGCAGGCTTCTAGTTAAATGTATTTTCCTCTGTAAAAGGCAGCAATCTGATAGCTTTTCATAAAAGAGAAAGAACACCAGCAGGTGGTGCTAAGAAGTGGGAACAAGCATCCAGCATAGCATGCACCATGAATTTTAATAAGCTACACATGATTTTTCATAGAAGATCAGAAAACTGCTGTGTACACCTGTGGCCAGCTTGTCTAGGACAGGAAATTTTGTTTTTTTTTTTCAAAACCAAGTGATCACTGTGCAAATAACTTTTGAATGTCATGCTGCCCTTTTAGCTTTTGGCTGATACACACAGCATTCCAGGACTATTCTGTTGCCGGGCCAGGTTTCCTGTTGGCATAATTCCAGTGATGTCAGTGCATTTGCATTAGCAGAATATTCAGCTAGCTCTCATTTAGGACTTCATTTATTTTTATGTGCCTGGCTGTGACAGAGCCCTAGATTTTGATAAGCTCATCATGGGTGTATTTTATTTGAGAAAAGGTAAAGCATTTGTGGTATATTCTTGACTGATTTTGGTAAAATTGATTTGCTGTGAAACATTTTAAGCTTGGGAGAAATCACTATTGCTTTGCTTTTTGGTACCATGGGAGAGCTCTAGGGCAGAAAGGCAGTCATATTTTGTGAATTTATTTTTAGTTAATGCTTTATTTTCTTATCTAGAAAATGTTATCAATAAGTATTTTGCAAAATGTTTCTATCATATAGATAGAAATCTATAGATATAGGTTAGGGATATATAGGTGTCTTTCATTGTGTTGACCACTGGCTGCTGGTATCAGATTCTTTTTAGGGAGGTAAGAGAAATGTATTGTACAAGAGGTAATTTCCCCTGCCCCCAAAAGTAAAAAGAGAAGAATATCTACAAGTCTGCAGAATCCATACAACTCGAAAAAGCCAGTCCACCACAGAATCCACAGGTCAGATTTACAGAACTCTGGTCTCATTTGGATGTGTTGCAGATTTCTCTGTCATCCATGGTACTATGATAACTGCATCTTATTCACAACCTTTCTTGCAATTAAGTCAATTTTGGATATTATAACTTTTGCATTTTTAACCTTTCCTATTCCTTCTTGTTTGATCTAGGCCTCTGACTTGGATTGAAGAAAGGGCACCAGGATTGAAACGGAACAAGATGATCAACTTCTGCTTCAAAAGTGGATGCTTAGAGGATCTCCCTCAGGCCCCAAATTCATCAGTGGGCCTCTTCATGCAAGACCTGATCCTCTTTGCCAAAAAACTGTTGGGGCAGGTCTCCAAAGAAGATCTGGCAGCTGAGAAAAGACGAATTCTGCACTGCCTCAACCTTGCTGAAGAGATTCAGATGCATTGTGAGCGGCCGGCAAAGCTCTACTCTTGAAACTGCTTGAAAATATGAAAATGGCCACTTACAACTGCCACTTCTTGTACTGCAAACCTTTTTTTACAGTGTTCTTCTAATTTGCTAGCCTTTCATTATAATCAATCAGGTTTTTCTAACAAATCTGGGCCATTTCAAGCATTCTTTGTTCATCACAGGTTTGTTTTAACCTGTTGAAACAGAACAGTATATGAATAATTGTCCTGCCTGAGAATGTGACATCTTTCTAATCATAAGCTAGTGAACAAATAGATTAATGCATCACTTCTGCTGGAGATGGAACAGGAGTAGTATGCCTTTTTAACAAATTCTATTTTCCTAGGACTTTCTTTGGGTTTCCTCTACATATCCATTTTATCTCCAAAATATGGCTATGAAACTTTCAGATTATGCCATGACTTTTCGGTTTATTTAGTGTAAAATCTAAATAGGCTTTGACTTACTGCACATTGCTTAGCCTTTTGTCGGGTTCTCCTCAATGTAAGGGTGTGTGCCTGCAAGTCCCTCTCATGTCTGAAAGCTACTTCTGATGGCACAACTTATGCCAAAGATAACAGTCCTGACTAGGTTTTAGGTTTTTTGCCCCCACCTACATAATGTTTAATCAGACCTATTCGTGCCATTTCCCCAGTTCTTCCATATATACTTCACTGTTCCTGTGCTGTATCTGACTGTGCCGGGAAGTGACGGGAGAGCTCTGCATGGGGCTGTTTTTTTGTGGCAGCCATTTCTCACCTTTCCCAGAGCTGGTGTTTATAAAATGCACAGCTGTATCTCAATTTTAACATGGCCTAAAGTCCCAAAGTTGCCTTCTGACTGGGCTTAAGTTTATTTAACTCCCTTATGCAGAATTGAAATGTGAGATTCCAGGAGACCATCATGTGATCTAGGTTGTTTCTTTCTTGGAACTAATTCAATCGTAATATAATAAAGCACATTGTGAGGCAAGGCGTACTCAGCATTTTTTATGAGAGTGCCTCCAGTTGGCAGTAAGTAGGAATGAGCCCATCAGCCATCTTGATTATTTCCAAGATGCACCACTAATTTGATAAATATCCAGTGTCACCATGTGGGTACATATCTGTAAGAATTGCCATGCAACATTGTTCAGATAGCCTTGCGACTACTCTATCAGATACTAAATATGAGTGGCTCTTAGTGGTTTGTCTGTCCTTAGTTTCTCATAGAATCAGACAGAAAACTCTACTACTGTGAGATCTGAATTTGAATGTATCGAACCAGATGGTAAGAAGCATGTATGAAACACACTGAAACTCTTGGCATTAATACATGTCATTACAGTGACTGTATAGACATGTGAGATCTAGCTACGTGCTAAAAATTGAGATAATATCCTTTAGCTCTGAACTTAGTTTTGGTTGTAGTGTGTGAATGTTTTGTTTCCAGAAAGTAAGAGGGAGATTGATTCCCTGTTCCAAAGTACACTGAACCAAGATTGTATACAGAAATGTCTAAGACTGTGCCTTTTACTTTGCATGGTACTATGTTATTTATGCCTATTACAGCCTTGCTTCTAGTTTGTGTAAGAAACACATCTTCTTTAAGTGCTATCATTAAAATAATCTTTTTCAGAGAAAGTAAATTGCTCAGTTCCATTTGGTGCTCTAAATAAGATGCTATTTCAGGTCCTTTTCACAGGCCTCTGTCAGTGCACCATTCCTAACTACTATATTACACTTTTGAGCATTATAACTGCCAAACAGGAGCTTAATCGTACATTTGTGAACGTTGGAAGAAAATCTTCCAGTTCAATTGAGTTTGAACTCAAAATACATGTAGTTACAAGCTGAAGATCTGTGGGCATCATAAATGATTTTGTGTCTGTGTAGTTATTCTTTGTTTTTGACTGTCTTGCACCTCAGAAGGAGCTGCACACCTCTTCGTAAAGGGAGTAGGTACATTCTGTCACTGTCAGGTGGAAACTGATCTTTGAGACTGCTGTGCCAAGGAAGTATAGTGCCTGCAAAGCTCAGAACAACCCTGCCTCTTATGTAGGAGTAAAACACTGAAACTACATTAATACTAGGCTTACATTTTGCCTTGCTTCTAAGACCAACCCAAGTCATTTTCATGCCAAATGGAAAAATCAGAATAGTACCCACTTTTCTCTGCAAAGTTCTGTTCAAGTCTCACTGAAAAGTTCAGTGATGTTCCGCTCAGTCTCCCACTCTGTTGGCTTTACCTGTGCCCAGGTCCTCTGCCTCGTGTTAAGGCAAGGTTACTTCTGCTTGTGACTTGAGCAAGAGCCTACCTACATTGTTGTATAGACAAATGTCTCCTTAAAATGCATTAACTGAAACATCCTTCATTGGAGCATCTTTAGCTACTCTCTTCATTCACTGGAATGGTCTACAGCTGTGCAGACAGCGATATGAAAACTGCAGACTATAATTCTCTGTTGCAGAAAATTCCATAACCTAGAAGGTATGTTTTGGAGATGAGAGATGTTTCTTCATGCTGAAAACTCTAAATTCCTAGCACACATAGTATATGCCCAAGCAGATTCTGCTTACATTTTTTCCAAATGGCCAAAAATAGTACAACCCCCGCCCCCATAACTACTTTTTATAGAATCAAAGTGAGAGCCATTATCTGAATTAATTTCACAAAAGGAGTTGGGAATTTCCAGAATAGAGTTTTCCCACATAACCCTTCTGTCCAGGCATGAAGAAAATGGGTTTTCCTGTTTGGGAAATTTGACTTGTTTTTCCACAATAACTTTACAGTGTTTGAGTTGGATCCAACCCTTCAATCCTATACACATTCACATATCCCAGATAAGCGGATATAGGATTGCAGCCTAATTTAGTTGAACTTAAAATCAGCTGACTTGGTCTGGTCCCAAGCTGTTGTATTTTGAAATAATATAATTTTGTAAATCTCTAGAAGGTCAGGGCCTCTTAATGTATATGTAGGTTTATATATGTGTGTATATGCATACATAAATGATATAAATAGAAAACATCCATGGAATTGTGCTGTAAGGCACTCATGTTGAATGTTGTTAACAGCTTTGGAGCAAGAGGTATCCTTCTCTAGTTTAGCAATGCCTTTTATTGTTCAGATAGATGAGAGTGAAAGAGCTTTAATGGCCAGCTCCACATTATCATGCTTGCTTGCTTTTTTAAATGACTTCAGTGTACCCTGTTTTCTTTAAATACTTTGTTCCATGATGCCATTCTCAGAAACATGGCTTGGTTGATGTACTGTGCAATAATATATGTTGGCAATATTGTATATGCTGCCTTGACTTTATTAAAGTTATCTGAGCTATATTTGCTTTCTTTTTAATTTCTGACCACTTGATATGCACTTAATAAGTGCTTATGCTCTACAAGTGCTCACATTTTGCATTCTCCTATATATTTTATACAGAACCCACCACTACCCCAGTGTAAATCCTGATCCCAGACATTTGTACTTTGAAAGAGCGAAAGAGACTACCTCAAACCCAAACTCTGAATCTGAACAATCCAATGACCTAAGAGGCAATGTCTAGGAGCCATGAGAATTGTCACTCTTCCTTGGTGACCCTGCATCTACCAGGGTTACCGTAGCTGCTTTGCATTGCTTTTCTTCTTTTAATCATACTTCATCATCTGGTATTCCTCGCCTTCTTACCCTGAACAGGTCCAAAGTAGGTTAAGTCAATCATTTTCATTATGTTGTAAGACCGTATTGAACTGTGCATGTATGGTATCACTTGGACATAAAAGAATTATGTGGAAAGAATTTTTTGGCAGTTATGTACTAAAGCTTTATCTGCTCTTGATTCTGCCACCACAGTTAGCATTGCAGAGAGGCTGATCTTACATGCATGTACTGAAACAGTTTTAGGATGGCTCCAGTGGCATAAACTCACTATATTCTGCTTCTTTGCCAGCATTTGCTTTTGAATATAGTTCTTCTGTTCTAGATAAAATTTGTGGAGACAATATTGCTAGTTAGAAGGAACAGTATTTTACCCTCAATGCTATTATTTACTCAGTTTGCTGTTGCATTTTTCTTCCAAAATGATCCAGTTGGCTAGATATCCTGCTCAAAAGAACAATGTCATGATGACATAATTTCGTATCTAGAGTCTTTGCCATAAAAAGTATATGCTCTTTGATTTAATAGGTATAATTCTTCCTGTTCCTTTATTTGTCTCTTTGGTTAGACTTCCGTGTTTAATGTTTTGTTCTGATGGCACTTCCATTTCACTCAATAATGCATCATTCTTTTGTTTCTTAGCTTATATTTATATATCAAATGATGTTCCATGTGCTTTGATATAAAGTATAACAATATCTGCGTTAAATAATGGTGAATAATAATATCCAGGTTAAAAAAATGGCGAATCTCCAAAGTTGATCTCTAACCAGCAGAATGGATTTAATTAGATTCACCAGATGATGCAATTGGTCTCTTTGAAGTTGTACTTTGGTCTTATCATCAAATTATGTATCACAGACAAAGCAGCATTGCAGTTTTTTCTGGGTATCTTTGCAGAGTCCATCTTATTTGACCTGATGGGTTACCCACAAGGGAATATAGGGTCAGTGATTTCCATATAAATTGGATTTTTCTGTCTCTGTTGGGACCTTGTATTGTCAGCTCTGGTGACTTATATTTTTCCTTGTAATAGAATTGCTCTCTAAAAAAATGGGAGGAAATCACCAAACAGTCTTAGCTTGTAATCATTTTTGATCATCTCAAGCTCAGTTGGAATAGAAGGAATGGACTGAGTAGCAAGAATCAGCATTCCATGTTCTACTGCCTCCAACTGGGAGTGCTTTTTTTGTGTAGTGTGTGAAAAGTAAGGACAATGAATAAGCTACTTCTGCCTGGTTTCATACATCTGGGAGAACAGAAAGCGAAATCTCACTCCTGTAATTTTGTTACTGTCCCTTGCTCCACCTAGTATGCCAAAGATAATGTGCTTTTCGGCCTTTATGATATCAGATGTTTTGGATTACAATTCCCATAAGCCCCTGTCAGACCAATGTTCAAGGATGGTCAGGGGTTTAGTCCAGAACAGCCAGGGGCCAACAGGCTGCCTACCCGTGTTCTAATGTACCCATCAGCCTGTTCCCTGAATTCCCCCCTCCCTCAAATCTGTTCTAAGCATTTATGCATCTTCTATTCCACCTGTCCTCTTGAAGAAACTCATGTCGATGTTAACACACACACACACACACAGTTATATGTCACAAAACAACAACAAATATAACATCATCCAGGTGCAGAATTAAATAACCACCATCAACTTTCACAGTTCTCTGAAACCCTGCAAAAAAGGTACATTTTAAAGTGATATCTAGCTGCACCCTGTGTTTTCCATAACAGATTTATATTTAGGGCATGTTTCTTCTGCAGGTCACTACACTGGTCAAATCTGTTTTATCAGCACTCAGGATCCATTGAATTAATCAGTTGGATGTTCAAAATACCCCACACACAACAATAGGGACTTCCCCACCCCTAAGACCCCAGCCAGGCAATTCACAGAGCACCTCCCCCCCCCCCGCCCAACATAAGGCGAACAACCCCGGCTCCTGCCACCCTCTTAACTCCTCAGGATGCTCTCTATCACCACCCAGGTTATCTTTTTTTCTTTTCTCAGTGACTGAGGAAGCTTCAAAATGAACCGCTGGATTCCAGATGCTCAGCATTTTTCTTTTCTAAGAATGCCACTATGGTCCACGTGGAGCTCTAAAGCATTATTGAAAATAAAGGTAGAGGAGGAGGCTGGTCCTTTGGTATATCATGTGTCAGCCTCCCTGTTGGATGGATGGATGGGTGGATGGATGGATGGATGGATGGATAATCTAAAATAAATTTAAAAACCAGGAGGAGCAGGGAACCTGGTGTGTGCCCAGAAAGTAGTCTGTGCTCAAACTAGCACCCATGGGCACCTTGCTGGGGATGCCTGGATTAGCATCTAGCCAACAGACAGAGCAGCACGTTAAAGTCCTTCCCACTGTGTGAGATCTATATTGTTATTCAAATTATAGCAATTATTTCTAAATTTGCATCTAAACCTGTATGAGCACATGCAAACTTTATGCAAAGCTATGTCCTCATGGTCCTCTTTTTTATGAGATATCTTTTGCCTCCTTTTTGTGGGATGCATTCAGTGTCTAAAGGCCTGAATTCCAAGGATGTAGTTCTCTGGAAGGCTGAGGGGGGTGCTGCAGGATATAATAGGATCTGGTATATCTGTTCCCCTCACTATTAAGATGAGGAATTCTTCCTTCCCATAGGCTGGGTTAGCACAGTTCTTGCATTCTATTCCATGAATGCTAGAGGAAACAAGTGACAGTACATTAGCTTTTAAAATATTACTTATTCATTCAAATGCATTACCTTTTAAATTAGTTAGCAAGCCTCTCCAAATTAATCTAAAAATGACAGCTGGCGGTTTTTCCAGCAAGCAGGATGCATGCTTTTCAAACTGGGCAGCCCTGCATAAAATTTAAAATAGGTTCCCACCAGAATTGTTAGGAAGGATTTCAGAACAGCTCCAAGGTAACTTTTTTTGGACAATATTTGACTGGAATTCTGTTTATTTACCACTGGGGACTCTTTTCTTGCTAACCAAGTCCACATTATACAAGGATAAAACTGTAGAAGTTTTAGGGAGCTCTCACATGTATTGATCAGAATATTCTGATATTAATATAAAACCTGCACAAGCTAGAATGCACATGCTATTTTTTCTTTCAGGTTCTGTCCTGAATTTACTGCATTTATATCCAACACAAAATAACTACAAGGCTCAGGTGTGCTTCTTAATATCATTTATGCAAGTAGCCTCAGAGCTGGAATGTATGACATCACCTCCCAGGTAAATGAATACCCATTGCTGGTCTCCACCACGTAAAAATAACAGCACTATTTCCCATGATCAGCTTTATACAATACTGTAACAATAAACATGCTGGTACAAAAAGTACAATCTGCTAATATTGTATAATGACATTGTCAATGAGCAATAGATAAAGTAGAGTGGATGTAAGAGGGGAGGGATTAACAGTTAGAACTAAGCAGAGAGTTTGTCATACAAGTAACATATTGCTCGAAAGCTGTGACTAGATTGCTTATCCCAATATATGCATGGACGTCCTTTATGCTCAGCCTCCTACTTCCAACATGGAACATGGCATCGATGGCACAACCTAGCAGGTGATACTTCCGAGATTGCTGATCACATAGCTGCCAGTGTGTCATGTGAGGGGAAGAAATAGCAGATCCAGTTGTTCTTGGTGTGATCAGCTTGGAGTGGCCCACTCAGCCAAACCATACTGATCCCATCTTATTTATTATTTATTTTATTTATTTAAAACATTTCTATGCTGCCCCCATCGCAACAAAGCCTCGGGCAGCTCACAACAAGAACAAAATTATACAATAAAAATATTAAAACCCGGTGCATCTCGGCTTAAAAAATTTAAAATGCTACAAATAACCAATACATTAACACTTAAAATAAGTTTTAAATAAAAAGGTCATAGCCTGGCGCCGAAAAACATATAACGACGGCTCCAGGCGGACCTCTCTGGGGAGCGCATTCCATAGGTGGGGCGCCACCGCAGAGAAGGCCCTCCTCCGGGTACTCATCCTCCTAATATCATTCACAGAGGGTTCCCAGAGAAGGGCACCTGTTGCTGATCTCAATGGGTGGGAGGGCATATACTCATATTACCTGAGTCCAAAAGACAGAAACCTCCCTTTTGCAATCAGCTGTAGGTCTCTGGTTAAGTAAAGGACCAGGTGTCTGATGTTGGCATCGTACTGCAGATGACTTGGTGTTTGGGCTGATTGCTACTGATCTGCTCCTTTAATCTGCTCATCATTGTATGCTCAGAATCTGACCATCGCTTTCCCACTCTGTACTTTTTTCTGAATTCTTACTAAACCTTTAACCCTTTTTTCCAACCAAAGCCTAGTTTGTGTGCCTTGGGAAAGATGTGTACTCTGAATCTGACCAACCTTTTCCTCATTCTGTATTTTTCCTGAATCCCTAAAACACTGTTTACCTTGTTTTCACCAAAAACCAGATTGTGTGCTTTTGGGGTAAAGGAGGAAGAGGCTTGCTACATTTGGCTTGCTGTCACAACACCCAGATTGTGTGCCACATGCTGAGTGCAACCTGCAAGCTAGCTGTATGTTGTGCATGTGCTTTCTGATGAGATTCCCAGGTGCACACGAGATATGGAGGGCTCTGGTGTGAAGGGTGGCTTAGACTCAAGAGCTGATAGCTGACCCAGCAGTGGCTCAGAGTTCTCACTCT